GTTCTCTGCTCAGAATGGTCACAAAGACATCTGTACAAGTACACACACAACCAGCAGTTAAAGGAGGCCGACTGCTGGAGACTGGGATGGCACAGTGAACCACCACACTTAATTGGTTTGTCGTAACAGGAGGTGACCCACTGGACTGACCTGCCAAAATCACAAGCTCCGAGCATTACCGGCTGTGGACTACAAACCCCACTTCACTCTTCATCTCTCCTCACCCAACGCTTTTTCATCACTCGTAAGATAAACTTCCCCCAAAGTCAAAACACCCCCTGCTGAGATGGCTTGTGCCAAACCCAGCTTCAGATTGGCTGCCTGAGGAGAAACAGACAGTCACTGGCTCTAATTGGCTCGCTTATTCTGACATCTCTCTCTACTGCTGTTGTAGCCAAAAAAGGTGTTAAACCCATCTGAAAGTTGTGTGTGAATGTAAATCTATACTGTATTTTTCTATGTGATACAGTGGATTTACACAAACACACAAATGACTTATTTTGATTGGACACATTTTCTGAAATGCCTCTTTGTAAAAACTGATCTTGAATGACTGGAGGGAAAATGAACATGACACTCTGAAATAACTTAAATATAAATAAATGTGTAAAAAAATATAATTTTCACACAGCCAGTAGGCATATATTTAATGTTAAGATAGCGTTAGTAAGCTTCACTTCAGCAGAAGAATATCATATGTTAGTTTTATGGTCTGTTGTCAAGGCGCCACTAATATAAGTGTAGTATATTTTTGTGTAATTCTGTGGTACATACATAGAGGGAGTAATACTTTTAATCTATCTATATAATGTATGTTTTTAATGTGTAATAATGACTATGTTAGCCTTGTATGATGAGAGGTTTTACCCTAAAGTGTTGTTTAAACGGACAAAAGCATAGATATAAGGAATAAGTGGATTTCAAAGTGTGAGTGTATACAGGCTCAATGGACAGATGCAAATACAGTGATGCATTTCTGCACATGTACGGCTTCCTCAGCTTTATGAATCGCCTTCAAAGAAACCAGGAGAAAAAAAAAGACTGGTGGGAGATACACAGGCACGGATGGCAGATCTGTTTGTAGTCGGTTATCACGCAGCTAATGTCTGTACAGTTGGTTCATTAGCTTGTCTGTTCAAAAACTGGCAGCATAGAATGTCCAGATGTCAAATTAACATGGCACAATAGAAATGAAGCTAATTTCTAATGGGTCACAACAATCTCCAGTGCCAGCTCTGATATATTACCACAGACTGTTTAGAAAGATGGATCACATGACGGCTCCTAAAAAGTGAAGCCAAAGCGTCTTGCTCGTGCCCTGGTGACTGGCTGCAGTATAGGTCATAGACCCTGCCCCTCTGTTAGTGGATGGAACATTGACCAAAATAATGTTTTGTCTCAAAGATGTCAATTTAGTTGGTTCTTCTCACACTTATGTCCAAGCGTCTCCAAGCGTCAAGTAAGTTTGATTTTAAATAATTATTTGATGCTATAAAAATGAGGTGAAAATGTCCTAAATGTCCTTCAAAGCAAGATGAGCTTTACTGTAACACATGCACGGTCAGACTCTGAAATAGAAAAGTTATTGTCAAGTGTGAGAGTGCTCCAGAAGGAGAGATGAAAGTCATATAAAAAGTCAAGACAAAAAGAGGACTGATAAAGAGGTCACTCTTCCTGTCCTGCTGGAGACTTTAGGAAACACATCAAGTCTTGTCACAAAGGCTTCATTAAGATGTGTGGTGATAACAATGGAGTGATCCCAGTGTGATTCACCCCCTCCTCATTTCCTGTTGACCACAGTCGGGGAGCCACAAAGCCCCACACGAATCAAGGCAGACACAGAGAGCAGATGAGAGGCCGATACAGCGAAAAATGACTCCATCACGAAGGCTGTTGCCTTGGAGAGTTCTCATTAGCGGCTGTGTGTGATATGATAAGGTGTGAATGATGCCGCTGTGTCAGGCGTAGCAGATCTTACAACGTCACAGTCACATGTCTGATTGGACCGGTGGCAGCTTTACTTGTGTTATTATCGTGCGGTGGGAGACACTGGTCGCAGGATAAAGAACGTAACAAAGGAATGTCTGAGACACTCAATGCAAACGCAAACCCACACAAGTGTGCACACACAAAGAAACAAGCTTGAACCGAGATGACACAAAGAAAATGAATTCCACTCCAATTCTTCCTCCTCTAATCTAAACGGTTGGTGGTGGTGGAGTGATGCTAGTGGTGTAGTATAGCAATTATCATTGTGCGTGCATAAGTATTATAGCCAATCCATGAGGATTAAGGGCGCAGAAGAGGAGTTAGTCATTATTCTCGCAAGAGCGTCATCTCTGCCATCGCACCAGTCATCTGCAGATATGTTAATTGAGGGGTCGGAGCTGCGATGAAGCCGGTGAAGGCAGGAACCTTCACTGACTGGGAGACAACAGAGGATGGAAACATTCCTGCAGCTTCCTTCATCCTCTGTGTAAAGTAAGAGGCAGATGAGAAGATAAATGAGAAACAGTGTTTACTAAGGCTCACAAATCGCAGAACCTGAACCCAACAGTGAATAAATCAGTACAGTGGGTAACTATGGTACATCATGGACACACATGGCCTCGCTGTGTGTACTTGGCTCTGCTGTGGACACAAAGCAGACACACAGATCCCACCTTCACATCACGTGGCGGTTCTGAGAGCCCAGATTAACGCCTGTGAGAGAGACAGAGAGACACTGCCAGAGGAAGAGAGAGAGGGGGGGATGATGTCGACATGACTGGGCTGATGCTGTGTCTTGTCATACATACCGACACCACTGATGACTCATCAGCCTCCTCTTTCTCTTTTATTTCCTCCACACTTCCACATTTTATCAGCTGTATGGATTATTACTATCATCATCATATCTGTGTAATGTGACTCTTTCCATTGTCTCTGACTCCTTCACAAACAGAGACACACACTCAGAGTCAGATGCCTGCTGGTGATAAGCTGCTGACACTTTCCATGATGTGTACCTGTCTGGGCACCGACATATTTTCCATCATAATCAGACCGTGGTGCGCTCACTGCCTGTCCCACCAACACAGAGGTGTGTTCTTCTTTCATAAAAACAGACCAGGTGCACTCCAGGTGACTCAGATGAACCAGGTGTGAGGCAGCAGTGCTCTATCATCCCAGAAATGTTCAGAAAATCAGCCTTTTAATTTGATTTGAGTAAAAAAAAACTCACTTCTGTTTGAAATGAGCAGGAAGATGTGGGTAGTTAGCAGATATGAATCACAGTGTCTGAACTATAGACTGTGTATAAAGATGGACGAGGAGTCTCCACCTATGGTCTCCACCTCCTCCTACTATCTAGAAATAAAACTGAAATATCCTTGATACAAATGTTACCATCTCACGACGAAGATGTTGTTTGGAGTCAGAGTAAATAAGTAAGAGAGTAAAAAATATCAATTTCCTTAACAATCTAATAACATTACTAGGACAAATACATAGACAAGGATTAAATCACAATAGAATGAGAAAAAATATGAAATTTCATGATAATAAAAATTGATTTTTTGAGAAGAATTTTCATTGGAGATTAGCGGCAAGGACAACACTAGCTCGCCAAAGTTTCACACCGTCTGGATCCAAATTCTTGTCTTCAATAATGTGACTGTGAAAATATGAGACCCCATTGAGTATCACACAGAAGTAACCAACAATATACAGTCGCCCATCAACAAAACATTTCCTCCTCCACAGAAGACTCTTGTGGTTCTCTCTTCAGAATAGACAGTTTCTTGCAGAGTCTTTTCAAAGTCCAGATACTCATGAAAGCCTGATTGTGTGATGACCATTTGCCAATATAGAATTTATTTGTTAAACTTACACTACATTCATAATTTTAAAGCAGGTGACTGGCTGAGCTTATATTCCCCCTCTAACATGACATGGAGCCTAACATTACTTTATTCCCGAAAAAAAATTCTTCAACATGGTACTAATTGTTCGTCGTAAAATAAGGTATCATACAACATTTTTTTGCAAAATTTCTCGTAAAAATGAATTTTGATCTTGATGTAAAAAATGTGGCAGTCCTCCGACATGTATGGTACAGAGATCTCTGAGTTGATGAGACTATGTAAAGATGATCTGATGTCTTTCTTCCTTTTATCTTACAGGAGCTAAGCTAAGAAGTACCCACTCTATCATTCTAGTTGTTTGTCAAGTCAAAGCTGTCCTCTGTTACAGAAGCCTTTTGTTTCCTCTCGTCTAAAAAACTCTCAGCACTGCGCTCCAGACCGATGGCCAGCTTGATACAGGCTCCCCACTCAAGCCTTCTGATTTGTTAGACCTATATATATTTAATAAAGAGTTTCCTGGCCTGCCCAGTCATAATGTACTATGCACACCCCCACTCACTGCAATGCTTCACTGTCACCCATTCATCCGCCGTGTACGAGGAGTGATGAGGGCTTTGAGAGAGGAGACATTCAAGGACCAGTGAAGCAAGGAGGACGGATCCCTGCGGCCTTTTTCCAAAAGCCGTCCATTCGTCACCTCTCCAGCGGCCACGGACTGTGACAGGTCGGAACGCACACAGATAGACAGAGATGAAAGAGAGAAAGAGAGGGGGAGGGTATGAGAGGAATACATATTAAAAGATAAAGAGAAGTGGACAAACAGTCCTTACGTCACTGTAATGACAGCCTGACAAAATAAACACAGCACAGCTAACCTTAAGTGTTCAACATGGACAGCCTGTCACTGCGGCAGGTGACATCGTGACCGATTCAGCGTAATGGAAGTGTGTGTCAGCTAAATGTGTCAGGGGCTATTATCTTTCTTTTTAGGTGTGTGTGTGTGTGTGTAGTGGAAAAGACACATAATTCCATCAGCAAAGTGCTACTTCCCATTTTGCATTGAGCACATCTAAAGAGAGCGTTCTGCATAACAGAGAGAGAGGTGGGGAGTTTAGAGAAAGGAGGGGGGGTGGCAGACAAAGACCTTGCCCACACAGGAACACGATTGGTCATGGATGTCCATCAATCCCACTGTGACGCAGACAGACAGGTATAGCGAGTGCTGGTTGTTAGTCATACTGTAGATAAAACCACTTGACTGTCTCCCCCTGCAACCTGAAGCAGCTCACACACACACACACACACACACACACACACACACACACACACACACACACACACACACACACACGATGTACAATATTAACATTGTGTTTATTATTGTATAACTATAACGATGAGGTCTCCATAATGCAACAAGAAAAGAAATGCAAAACCAGCCACAACATCCATGAAATCAGTAGATACTAAGCCATGTTTAAAAGAATACCCAGAAGACATTACTATATTATTACACATGTATTCAGTAGTGTTACTAACTCTTACACCTGTGAATGCATCTTATGCAATTTTGATACAATCACGGTGACAACATCTGTCCACAGACAGACAGACATATAAACTCCTGCCAAAGTTAGTCAGAACCAGCACTGTGGGAGTTCCTACTTACAGCAGCGTCTCCAGGACACACACACACACACGCACCTCTCCATGTGGTGAAACACAGTGGCTGTAGACTCACACAGTTCATTAAACACACATTCTCATTAAAATTCAACATCAAAGAAAGGAAATCTCAGTTGGCAGCGAACAGACACAAATCACATCAAGGTAATAATGCAATTATTTAATTTAGGCCCACGTTATTTGTTTTCTCCACTTTATAGACACGTGGTCCTCAGATAGAAGCAGCACATGGGAAAAAGACGACTGTGATCTGGGAGAGGTTGAAAATGAAATGCACATCACACTTGGGATGCAGGCAGAATATACTGTCGTCCACTATTTAGTGAGTTTGCCATTTTGTAGAGCTGCTCCAATGGTATAAAACTGAAATTTTTTATACCCTATATTTTATACGCAGCCAACAATAAAACACAAATATACAACAGTAAAGTCTAAACAAGTTAATGACTCGAACATGATGAGAAGGATTGTGCTTTAATTGTATGATTGAAACAGTCTAAATTGTTTTTTATTGTTGGCTTTCGATTTCATTTTTAACTTGAAAATGAAGTTTAATATTATGTATGAAGATGCGTCTGCTCGTTTGCTGTGATTCTGCCACTACACTTGTTTGTCATGTTTGTGTCATGTCATGTTTGGGCTGTGCAAAATTTGGTATGGACACTTTCCTGAAAAAAATAAATGACTCACTTACAGTAGAAAGAATTCTAGTTCTTGGGTGTCCCTGCATCCCACAGGGTCATGGTCTATCATGCTGTGCCATGTCTAGTGACCTTTAGCTCATGTCGTCCCCTTTGCTCTCTACCCAGGGATCCTGTCAGTCTCCACAGTAATCTGTCAAATGCACACAAAAATGAAAAAAAACACTTTCAATATCTGGAAATGCACAGGAAGTGTAAACCAAGTCATACAACAATAATCACCACCACAACAAGCAGCTCTTTTCTTTTATGAAATTGCTCTTAAAAAGCATATTCTGCAGTCTGCATATGTCTGCAATCGTGACTCACACACATTCATTCCTCATTCTTCTGCAACAATCTAACAATGTTTCAGAGGAGAATAATAACCAGAGAACAGTGGTCTTGATCAAGCACGACTTCATGAATGAAAGTGATGCGTGATCATTTCTGTGCGGGGTATTAAATTGGTGAGTGATCTAATTATGTGCAGCAGCTACGATCCCACTGTAAATGAGCTTCGGATGGGTTTTCACTGATAACACTGAAGCAGCTGCCACTTCTTAATCATCTGTGTGTGCCTAAAAGGCCTGGAAGACAGTTACCTGGAGAAAACACACACAGTTGGATAAAAAAGAAAACACACACAGTTGGATAAAAACACACACATTTTATTCTCAATCAGAATTTGTCAGTGTAAGTAACTTGGAGGGTTAATGTTCCTGGACCTGGTGCCTCTGTCGTCACAAAGAAAATACTTGAGTTACTTTCAAAAATAAACATGACATGTTCGTAAATCTCCCTGAAGGAGACAAGAAAAATAATTTGCATGTGTTTAAATTTGTGTATTTGATCTCTTTCTTCCTTCAAACAGTGACCACAGCTCCACCCGGCCCCTCAGGCGTCTCCACCTGCTGAACAGGACATGTATTTATGGGAGTTTAACAGGGGCCAGTGGTTGTGTTATTAAGCGGCTCCGTGCCTCCCCGAACACCTCAACAAGATGCCCAATTTTCTGAAAATCACATTTATTGAAGAGCAAATAAGATTAGGACTTTCTGTACGAGAAAGACGAGACAGAATAAACGTGAGCCAAGTGATTTATTCCTGTGGATTACAATATTAAAAAAGCAGAACAAAATGTCTGCAGGGAGCTAAAATAGGTCTCAAAGTAAATTTCTGGCAGTCAGAGTCAACAGTTACTAAACATTCATGCGATTTGTCTCCTGGAGCTAATTGAAGGTTAACAAGCTGCCACCGAGCACGTCGTGTGAAGACTCTTGATTTCTGTTTGTCCGGTGACTCACAGGTCACAATGAGCAAAAGTCCCATCAAGGCCTTTTCACATTGTGTCGTGTTGATGACTGAGTTGAGTGTACGTGAGGCGAGGGAGGGGGCTTGATTTGTGCCTGCTGCGTCTCCTCATCCAGAGAGTATGACTAACCCCACAGAGGCTCAGGAGACAGGGAGCCTGTTCTTATCCTGACCGGCCTCCAGACCAGTCCCTCTCCCTGCAACTACAATTACTCTCCCCGTCTGTCACACTGACACACACCTGCCTCCTCATCTCAGAATTACAACACACCTCAGGCCTTGACTTCATACCGCCCGTCTCCTGAGAGACGTCATGCATAATTTGTTTTGCCATGAGCCCCCTCCTCCCCGCTCGCTCCTCAATCAACCAGTGAAGGGCATTCGTGAGGAATTGCTTTTCCTCCTCTGATAAGGCTGCTGTGATGTCAGAGGCCCAGACGCCGTGGGGACGATGACTCATGTGCATCACTGGAGGAAACCCACCCGCCCACCCGAGCGTATCCCCCTACAGAGTCAGCCCCTCTGTCCGGCTTCGTCTCAGCTTCTCACATTCAGCCACGGACTCCCACTGTGGCTCTCAGCCCAGTAATTGGCTGCATGGGTTTGTTTCTCTGCGAGGCAAACCGAGAGGAGGGGGGGGTTTGAAAAAACAACAACTACAATATGGAGATGAAGTCTACAGAGTATGAGTCATGACGGGGGTGAAAGTGGAACAGAGCTCCTCCTGTGACATTCCTCACGAGCGGCAGATGCAGCCAACAGTTCTCATTTCAGGCCAGGAAACCAAAGCGCTTGCCAGAAACATTTTAATTAGGCAGCGTCACCTACTTCCTCTACGTGCACTTGACTTGTCCATGACACCTGAACCACCGGTCCCAAACCCCGTCACCTGTCAGAGGATGTGGGCGTTCTAATTTAACCACAGCCAATCCAAAGCAAAGAAAGAAAGCTATGTTCATATCAAGTATGTCCAAAGGGAGGACTTGTGGTGCTGAAGGAGCTGGAGCTGACCTTGATGGAAGTGTTATACAAAAATCACACTTCTATTTTTACTCCTAAATGCAGGATACAAACCTTGGTCGTTTATTTTCAGCTGTGTTGACAGTCTTCATCGTTTCTGTCCTTCATGCTGTCCAACCCTCATCTCAGCTCAGTTGAACCATCAGTTATCTGTACCACACATCCTGTAAGGGTCATGGCGGGGAGCCAGCCCCAGCAAACACTGGGCAAGAGGCCAGCGTGTCGCACAGCTTACATAAGAAACCATTCACAAGTACGTGCAATTTAACTCAATCTAACCCCAGTCTGCATGTCTTCTTGTCCTCTAATCAGAAAACCCACTAATATTTAGCTTTTGTCTGCAATAGGAACACAATCGACAGGTTTTATTGGCTCCAGCTCAGATTGGAAACACGACAAACGGATGATAGAGCAGATGGCAGGTAAAAAAAAACATGAATGTACCAACTTTTTTTTTTTTTATCTTATAGGGACAAAGTTTTTTTTCTTCTACACTGGCAAGAAAACGAGAGGCGCAAGCTCCTTAGTGTCCGCCACATTTATGGCGTCAAACATGACTCATGGGGGGAAATATGAATAGAAAATCAACCTCTTGTGTGGGCAATGAGAAAAGTATACCCACTAATTTTAGTGTATGACAGGTATGAGTCTTTGGACTGTGGGAGGAAGCCAGAGCAGCTAGAGAGAACATGCAAACTCCATACAAAGACCACAGCCCAACCAGGATTCATACCAGTAACCTTATTACTGTGAGTGCTCTCCACTGCACCACCATGCCACCCATATTTTTAAAAAAAAACTAATTTAAATCTGTAGCAGTTTAAATTAGGCAGTTTAAACAGACCATCCTAGACATTTTTACAGACATACTTTGTAAGACAATTAGAAACTTAGAGCCTGGCTGACATCAGTGCCTAATATTAAAAAGCAGTGAAAACACTTCCCTGTAGAAATCATGCTCTGAGGTGCCGTGTTGATTGCAAAGAGTGAACCTGATCTCTCACTTGTTCAGAAAAGCTACAGAAGGCAGTTTGAGAATGAGGTCATTGTGCATGTTGAGGATGGGATATCAAAACTGTTTCCAGACCTCTAACCTGCTTCTGAATCCCTCATTGAGAAAATATTCATCCAACATGTTCTGAGATATCCCACAAACATGGTTTGAGACGAGTGAACGCAAAGAAACAAGTGCAGACTCCAACACAGGGAAAACACCTCTACTTGAAAAACAATCTGCTGAGTCCAGACCCAGTATTCCACTGGTGCTGTGTAGTGTGTCCACCTGGTTCCAGTGTGGAACCAAGTTCAAATACCACAGGAACAACTCGAGGAAACAAAAACTCACCCCAACAGATCCTGAACTGACACAGAAGAAGGGGACAAGTGAGGCAGCAGGGATCATTGGACAGGTGAAACACATGAGGACAGCTGAGGACACTAACAAGGGGAACAGGAAAAAGAAAGGAAGTAGAACAAGTAAGAGACACAAGGAAAGTGGCTTCAAAATAAAACAGGAAAGGAGACAACATGAAGAATGAGAGGAAACATGAGAATGAAGAAAAAACACAAATCCAAACACAAGAGGCCAAAAGAATAACAGAAAGAGTCTTTCAAGAATTCCACACAAAGAGCCTTTCAAAGAATCCACACAAAGAGTATTTAAGCCTATTCCAAGTCCACAAAGAAAAAACAAACACCTACGACTGACTAAATTCTTTCTAAAGTTCTGATTCTCTTTTTCACCTGGACTCTCAGGAGTGATCACTTGCTGTTTCCACCACAAAGTGCCACAGAAAAACCCTCAGTGTGTCACATGACGGAGGAGATGAGAGCGTCTTCTCATCATGGAGGAGAAGCCAGAGAGAAAAGACATTTCACACAATAAATCCACACATTGAAGACAGTCCAAACATTTAGTCATTCTAGTTGCAGCTCACTGACACGACACCAGAGAAATAGTCATTACTGATGTCATCCCTAAGTTCAGGGTTTGTGTTTCCTGCAGTTCTAACCAGTTTCCTCATAACAATAAATATCCTGGATGATGAAATAAAGTTTTCGCCAAGTTTTTGCCATTTCTTTATTGATCTCCTGGGCACTGCTGAGGGGCCCCTTGAGCAAGGCACCAAACCCCCCAATTGCTTGCAGGGCGCTTCTTCGGGGCTGCCCATCACTCTACCATCTCTCTCCATATTTGCATGTCTATGAGCCCTTTGTGTGTGTGTGGGATTGTGGGTTAAAAATTGCATGTATAAATAAAAATGAGTGTAAAAAGAATTTCCCCCTTGGGGGATCAATAAAGTATAAAGTATGTGTTCTTATATACGACATTAAAAGGTCAATGTATGTAGCTGAATATATAATTGATATTATTTAAGCAGAGTAGTAGAGTTTTTAATTAGCAGTGGGCTCACTCTCCATGTGAGGTGTCACTTCCTCTCAGAGGAGACGAGCTTCACAGTGACAGTGGTGATCAGTTCCTCCTCAGGGTTTTCTCCAGAGCTGGATTCCTCTGACGTCTGGAGCAGGAGGCTGAGCTGCAGGGGACAAATTCACTCTGAGATTCATTTGAAATGAAGAAAGGACAATTAATTCAGGACTGGATGGATTTATTTGTGACCATGAGAGTCCATCTCCTCCAAAGCCCTTCACCCTTAACCCCTACTAATAGATACACTCATTCAGTATCATATTTCTGGATTGAATGCATATTATAACATGATGGTTTTCTGTTTCTAAAGATTCCTCCTCATCTTCTTGTGCCTGATTTTCACTTGTTTATCACTGTATATTTTTTTCATGCTTTCACTTGCACAGACTCTGTGATGTGGGAGTCAGAGGAGCCAGGAGAGTCATGGTGCTTTTCTGCAGCCTAGTGGTGCAATAAAACACAACTGCTCCTAATGTTCAGATCAGTCTGAGTCCTGCAGCCTCCTCATACATCATCCTTTACTTTTATAACCAGCCTCACAACACTCTATTCTCTAAAGTTTCACTGTTTTTATTTGCATCCGTGTGTAGATTTCCGTCAAAAAGCAAACTTAAGTGTGGTTCAGGAGGTAGAGTGGGTCATCCACTAGCCAGAGGGTTACTGGTTTGATCCCAGACCCCTCCACTGAACCCTGCCCTAATTTCCAAATTGTGATAGAAAAAGCACCGCATGTAGTTGTGTGTATGAGTGTGTGTGGCCTACTATATTTTAAGAAAATCTCTGGCATCTGCAGTGTGACCATATCACAGTCTTCTCCAGATATTCTCTGATACATTTAGTTGAAGTCATTTTAAAGTAACACTACAGATGAAGTTCTGGTTGAAACATGAGGAATCCACACAGCTCCAGATTTATGACATAATAAGAAACAGTCACTTCACTGTGTCACTGCCAGAGGCCTGGAGATACTGAGCATCTTCAGGCCTCTGCTGCCCCCTACTGGCTTGTTTTCTGTTGAATAACGGTAATAACCTGAAGACCCCATCATATAATTATTAATTGATTCATTTATATATTGATGTTCCAGTGGGGAATTTATGAATTTATGAATTGAATAGCTCCACAGTAAACACTGTGTGACTGAATGTGTGAAGTTTGTGTTGTTTACACATGAAAACATCTCTTTTCTTGAATGAGATGGAGAAGAAGCAACATCTGCCCTCATGTGTTGACAGCAGGTCCCACAGTCACATCCTTTGTCAACGTGTGTTGTTAATAATCATCATTCACTATTATGACGTAAGCAAAAGGTCAGAAATTTCAGTTTAGCTGCTCAACAGAAACCATTGACAGAGTTTGTCCTCCAGGAGGCAGTATTTTACTGATTATGACTGATAAAAAAGCCTACATGGAGAATGTGAGCCTGATTGACAGCAGAGTCACTTTATCGTAATGTTCCCACTGATAATAACAATAATAATACATCTGTAATAAAATCTGTAATCTTCTACTCCCTTGTAAAAACATGAATATGAGTCTGATCGTTCTCTTTGTCAGATTATCTGCAGTTTACAGCGAGGGAGAGACATCTTCATCATCATTGTGTTTCTCGATGGCTGCGGTCGAACATGGTGGCTTTTGTACAACTTGGGAGGTTGAGTCTGACTCGATCCCTCTGAGCCTCTGTCCACAAACTGTGACCACTTGACAGGAATATAACGTGTGGTGGAAACTCATGTGGTCTGTTCAAGAGGGAAAAATACATCTCTGCTTTGATCACACAGACATCATGTGATCAGATTTACTGCACGTGTGGAAAACTGGATTTAGTCTAACACGCATGCTGAACATTATTTCAGTGTGACACGTTCAGTTTGATAGAAAGACGTTAGTTAAAGGTTCAGTGTGTAGTATTTAGTGACATCTAGAGGGGAAGTTGCATGTTGCAGCTGAACACTCCTCATCTCACCCTCCCCTTCATAACATGAAAGAAAACCTGTGGTGAACTTCAGTTGTCACAAAAACTCAAAAGGTTTTAGTTTTTCCAGTTTGGACGACAGTTAAAAACATGGTGGCCTCCACAGAGAGAGGACCCCCCCCCCTGTATATATGTAAATATAAAGTTTTTAAGTATAAGATCCAGTTTTATGGTAAAGAAAACAACAAGTAAAACAGATGAAACACACCAGTGAAAACATCACTAGGATTATTTTATATTCAATTTCCGCCAAAAATTCCTTTCACCTAAATTACACACTGGATCTTTAAGTTTTAGTGAGAGCATGTGTAGCATTGTACTCTGAGATCTTTTTTTAAGATTTGAGAAAAATGTCCATTGAAAATCTGTTGAAAAGCCTCTTCCTGAACTTTCAACCACATCCAACAGTTTTCATCAGCAGGTGCAGTTCGTTCCATCGTACACTCTGGTCAACTGATGGCAGTTTGTCGGTGTTGTGAAATGTGAAATGTGGTTGAACGTTCAAAAAAAAGCTAAGTTAAGCAGTTCCCCCCATTTTAAATTCTCTCTTTTTCTTTTTCCTTTTATTCATCTCATTAATTATCATTTTATTTCAAAGTTCAGTTTCAAAGGTCAAGAATGAACATTGAGGCTCGGGATTTAGTTAAAGTGGTACAAACATTGTCCGGATAAGAAGCTTCTCAAGTTGTTTGATTTTAATAACATCAACAGGCCTGAACTGATAAGACTAAAAATAATTTTAAAGCAACATTTATCTTTTTCTTTCCAGTGTCACTATAATCATCCCTCCTTCCATCCATCCAGATTACTCATGTGACCTTTTAGAAGTTTAGATCCTGTGTTCTATATATTTCATGTTATTCTACAGGCGACACATTTTATTTCGAACTGAACTGAAAACTGAATTGAATATTTGTCTTGTAGAGTGAAAAGACAAACTGAAAAGAATCTGCTCCTGTTGGTTGAAGGCCCGACCTTCCAATCATGTTTCAGCATGAGTCACAGCTGTACAACACATTCAGCTCTGAGACGTTTCATGGTACAAACAGTCTGGTTTAGTCATTCAGGTTTGAAAATCTTGGTGTTTTTATTGTAAGTATTGCATCTTCAACTTACACGGCTAGAGTCATTTATCAGAGTGCATGTTTTTACAAAGGATGGCCACAGGTTCAGAACAACAGGACTCCTGCTCGTTTGGTTTGGCTAAACTTGACCTCATGGACCCGTTTGCTCAAAGTCGACCTCCTGAAGGACCGACACCAGAACGGAAAGTGGTTTCATACAGCTTCCACTTTGCCGGGCTGGTTCACTATTAGTCAAGTCAACTCATCCACCAACCTGAAGCACAGTCAGGACTGTAGGTCTAAACCTAAACCTTAAACAAAGAGGTAAAAATATAGCTTTGTGATCAACAGCTTATGCAGATATGACATTTGTTTTTTGAATTTGCAGCATAGCCAGAAACTCCATTAACTTGGACTGACCCTGGACCAGTCTGCTCTGACCTTAACAGGTCTTTTCACCTTCAATGCAAAATGACACCTGCAATTTATGTGATGGAGCCTCCACCACCACTTATTGTATCTCACACTGGACAGACTGGTCCAGGAGTCCGATATGTGCTGAGCAGCAGGCAGTAAACTAAGATCAGTGCAGACGAGTCCTGGACCAGGTGCCTTTCTACACACACACACACACACACACACACACACACACACACANACACACACACACACACACACACACACACACACACACACGCACATGTACACACACATACACTGTACACTCACACATGCGAGAGCACAGAACTGGCAACTGTCAAACCACTTCTTAAAATTTGTTTTCATCCCATTTTAGAATACGAGATCAGAACAATTTGCCCCAAGAGACAATGCAATGAGCGCCAGAGCGTTTTCACACATTGTTTTGAAAAATATCAAATCCAACATTGTCAGATTTGTCCCAATGACGTAAGAAAACATTTTGGACCCCAAGCAGGTGAAAAGACAAGTGTCCGATCTGCAAAAGGAGTGAATTTTATTTTGTCAAACATGGGACCTTTTTACCTGTCGTCAACGCAGGTTCATAAAAACCCAGCGTATATGAAGAACAAAATAGAAACGAAGAGACGATGAAGGTTAATAACTTAAACTGGGGCAGAATAAATGCAAACTGTCCCTCAGAGAGAGAGAGAGAGAGAGATAAAGAGAGAGGACACTGAGGTGTTCTGAGGTGGTTTTGGCATTTGTGATTTTTTTAATGATCGAGCACCAACAGTGGTGACTTTCTGATTCAGTGCCATGTCCAACAACCTCAACAGAGCTCTGCCAGAGAGCTCACATGTCGAACTCTATACACCGTAGTGATGTCCTTCAGAGGAAACTGAAGGATTTGTTCTTCTTGGTTTTCTTTTTTACTTTGAATCCTCAGTAGGAGGCCTTGTTAATGTAAGACACATTTTTTTCAACTGAAACACAAGCTTAATAGAGACTACAATCCTCCTAATAGAGGAAAGTGGAGTTTTAGACCCCTTTTTATTGTGGAGCAGCCGGCTCAAACTGCCAGTAAAAGTCTTGGCTATCAAATAAGCCTTGTGCAGAGGAAGCCCCCACAGACCCCCCCCTAAAAAAAACAGGTTTGGCCATTTTGTTTTTTAGCCTATCCATGTTTTTTTCAAAGATCTGAATTCATCGTCACAGGCATAGCGTAAGAGAGGTGGGAAAAGTGGCTCCGGACAAGGCTGATGACTCTAAACAGGCGGGCTCAGCATTAGGAGCAGCTTAGGGGCCAATTACATTTCAAGTGTCCATCGAAAAA